AACACAACTATAAGATGAAAGCAAGCAAGCAAAGCTGTGCCTCGCCGTGCTTCCTGTTGGACAAAGAATTGTGCAGTAAGGAAGATTCAGTCTTCCTGCATGCTGCTTTGTCACATTAAAAAAAGGCAAGTACTGAAACCGAACAGAACATTATGTGCACCCGGCAGAGTTGATCAGTAGTAAAATGTGAAAAAATTAAAGTAGGAAAGTATATTCTTTGTTGGCAATGTAAGTGAAAAGAAACCTGATCATATATTGTTAAATATATGTTAAATATATGAACTGTTTAGTTCATAACCTATACTTTTTTAATGGCACATAGTCCAAAAGATTTAGACAAAAGGAGTCAAACCTTTAAATCCCTCTCATGTTATCAAAGGGGTGTACCAAATAGTATCTCTAAGAACAACTCAAATGGTTAAAGTTTAGTTTATTGAAAAACAAACTTCTTTAACCACATTACTGACAGCAAATCTTAATGCATCCCAAGTGTGGGGAATTCTGCATTTCAATGCTAACACAAGATTTTTAAGACAATATGAGGCCGCTTCAAAAAGCTGATGCAAACATGAGTGCTGAGACCTAGATAGAAGCTATGTTGAGACACAAAGCTTTCCTTTCATTCGGAATCTTCTTTTATAAAGGATCCCTTGATTTTATACTTTCGGATTTACCCTCATAGTTTGAAGGGCTTATCCCGATGCCTACATTTATCTGAAGCTCAAAATAGGTAGGTGTAAAAATGACAATTTGGAAATGGTCAAAACAAACAAACAAAATCCTCCAACAAATCCCGAGGCCATCAAGGTGATTCTGACTCACCTTACATAGGTTTCCAGCCTCATCTCTCCCCCATTGAGCACCTGGTGGGCTTGAGCTGAGCTGCTGACCTTGGGGTTAGCGGTCCAATGCTTACCACAGCACTACCCAATTGTCAGGTAATAAAATCAAGAAAGTGGAGGCCATCCACAAAGTGTGTAAGCTGTGAATACAACCTGGGAACAGTAATTTGGGGGACTCCATAGAGTTAAGGAATGGCCAAAGATGCAAGAGAAAATCTCAAAGAAAGGTGCTTTAGAAAATAAGAGGCTTGTTTTAAGGAGGTACGGACAACAGTACAACTGCTGCAGAACCGTTGAGAAGAACCACAAAGGGTTTATTGCATTTTGTTGTGGCCAGGTGCCACAGAGACGATTTTTGATTCAGAGAGACCCTATGTGACAAAGCAGAATGGCCCGTAGGGTAAGCTCTACAATAGATTGACAAGTCTTTCTCTTGCTGAAGTGCTGGCTGTTTGAACTGTTAACCTTTGAGTTACCAATCAAGTGCTTAACCATCGAACCTCCCAAGAGAGGTGCTGATTGGAAATGCTAACAAAGGTAGTTTCAGTGTAGCACTTTGAGAGCAGAATGGTAATTGGTCTCCTTTTTCCAGAAACATAGCTGATAATGGTCAAGAGTTTATTTTAAAAGGAAGATATGTGAACATGCTTTTTATTTTGCTGAGGGATTGGGAGTGGAAAGAGGGAGTGTAGGCATAAGAGTGCCAGGATACCAGGACTTGGTTGAACTGGTCCATATTAGGGTCAGCCTCTAAGGAAAAGGGCCTTCTTGTGCTGAGACTTAAAGTAGGAAAGCAAAGGTAACCAACCATGCAGAAAAGCCTCATGAAAGAATTGAGATGGTTGGGAACCCAGAGTGTTTCAGAGAGAAAAAAAAGTGTGGAAAAATATCTAGGTGCCAGCCAAAAAGCACCCAATTCCACAGGTTTCCAAGCAGACTGTCAAGCCTTTCTTCCAAGTGCTCTCGGTGGGTTTGAATCACCAAGCACCTCATTCTTGGCATGATGGGATTGCTATGAGTTAGAATCAATTTCATGGCAATTCCTGCCACTCCCCACCCCATGCCTAATCTTTGTTTCTATAGAGCAGGACTCAGCAGTTGGAAAATTTAAGCCAGGAGATAGCAGTTTCTTACAACTTCTTAAAGATTTGAGTTTTTAATTTATTGCACATTACAATTTGATAAAAACCGAGAGAGCCCTAATATTTTGTCCTTATTGTTTAATGATTCCTCCCTCTCAGAAAAAAATTGTTAAAATTATTAAAATCAGCACAATTTATTTCAAAAGTGCCCACAAATATCAAAGTAGAAGCATGCATTAGCTTCTATAAACTGAACTTTCCTTAAGCTAATTTTTTTAATCAACTTTAAGCATTTGATACAATTAGTTTAAGGAAGCATGTGTCAGAACAGCACTATTAAACTGCTTTATAAAGTGACAAACACATTTTAGAAAGAGGTATACTTTAAGCTTATTGCTACCAGTCAGGATCCTGAAGCACTTTTTGCATGGTCATACTTTTTTGCTTAATTCGATCTATGTTTTCTTCTAAGAATCTTCCGAGAAGGTACGTTTTCTAACGGTGCTCCCCATGAATGAACATGGTGAAGTCATTGCATGGTTATACATGTCAGGGTAGACAATAATTAAATCTGTATAATGAAGAGAAACCTTCAAGTATCGTACTCTCAGAGACCTCTTAGTACATTTAACATAGAATTTCCAGCTGGATCCTTGTCAAGTCAAGCCAGGTAAGTTGGATAATTTCAGGCCCAGGTGCTGACGGTGGTCAAGCATGTAGAAATACTGCCAGCTCTGACAGCCAGGAGAAGTGGAACAGGTTTATTCTGAACTTACCCCCAGATTTCTAAAAATCTTTCTAATTTGGAGCTTTGTAATACATTAAAAAAATGATATATCCATATCCTTAAAAATACCAGAATTGTAAGTTGAAAATCTTATTCTTTTGGACTATTCTGATCCAAAGAATTACAGTTTAGAAAAAGGGGAAATAAGTTTTTTAAAAAGTTTATTTCTAGTCCTGAGGGAACAAAATTATTTAGTAGAAGTCATCAAATACAGCAGTTAATGTCAATGTAACAATTAAATAGAACAGGATTAAATTAAAAATAAGAGGTGACATAAAAAAGGCAAGCCATTCTCTTAATTGCATTTCTAGCTATCAAAATAAGGGATGGAAGGAGGGGGGAAAGAAGGGCTAGAGTCTTAACCAAAGTTGAAGGTTAAGCCAAAGCTATATCCTTTTGTTTTATGAGCTTCTACATTTACCACAGTGGCTTTGCCAGACTGTGCAATAAACGTGTTGAGGGGAAAAAAAACCGTGTATATAGTATATACATACGTGTGTAAAAATAAGGGACTTCAAAGAATTTGTGGAAAAACTCAATTTTTCCAGTAACTTTTTGAAGCACCAGTGTGGTGTGTGTGTTTCACACATGCATGGAAGAACTTTTAACTGTTTAAATATTTATTATGGGGCAGTGAAGACAAAGCAAACCTTTTTCACATTACCATGAAATTCCACTATAAAAAGACCAAAGTGACTCTCAGTTTGGAGGATTTTAGCTATAATTGAATATGCACTTTGGACACTTTAACCTGGCACTGGTGTCCATGGAAGCCCTGGTGGTGTAGTGGATATGAGTCAGGCTACTGACCATAAAGTCAGTAGTTTGAAACCACCAGCTGCTTGCCGAGAGAAAGATAGGGAGGGCTTTCTACTCCTGTAAAGAGTTACAGTCCCGGAAACCCACAGGGGCAGTAGTACCCTGTCCCATAGGGTCACTAAGAATTAGCATCAACTCGATGGCAGTGAGTGAGATGGTGTCCTTGGCACATTTTAAAAAATTGTGGGTAAGAAGTGATGCAGGTTCTTTAAGCAACTGTTTTCCTAACTATTAGTTAATTACTGATCTAAAATCCTTCTGGCTAAAAATACAGAGCATAAAAGCAAACCAGTATTTAAATGACCCTTACCAAGAAATACTCATTGATAATCTTAAAATGCTTGTTGAAAAGGCACAGGGTCACTTAGGACTGGTAGTTATCAGATAAAATTTATGCAGCTTGATATTTGTATGTTGAAAGGAAGCAGATTCCTACTGCCTGTCAGGCGCTCAACACATGGAGAGAGAGTTGGGTTAACCTTTGTTTCTTACATTAGTACAATTACTAGCTTACTACTTCTGGTATGACAAAACAGTCACTATTTTCACTGTTTCCCAATTTTAGATGCCCTAAAAGCATCAAAAAGAACAAGAGGAGCAGGTGACTTTAAGACCTCTAGGGTCTAAAATAAATAAGTACTCTATATTACTATCCCAATAGCAGAAGAAGGCTATGGTACTTTTTAGATTTAAATGAGAATTTTCATTGTAAAGTGATGGCATCAAAGGTGAGTTCAAAGGCAATTATTAAAAAGCATAAATCTTGATTCAGATATTATTGTTCTCTCAACAAGATCATAACCTTTTAATTTAAAATTAACTAATAAATCACAATTCCATATTGCATTTGAGATTATTTTGCTTAAAAATGATGTTTCGTAATTAACCAAAGTATTATTTCAACTACAGGTTAGTCAATCCAAGTAAATAGAGAATAAACCACAGTATAGCTCCCTTAACCGAGGAGTCAGCTTTTAATGACAAAGTCCGTTGCCAGCAATGGACGTGCAGATAACCATCAACAAGTTGTACATACAAATCCTCAACTGCTTCTACACACTGAAGTGCCCTTTGCTAAGTCACAGGCATAAAAACGGGGCATTGGCACTATATTCAATGAATATGGCCATTATGATCCGTCTTACCATCTAGTGCAGCGGTTCTCAACTTGTGGGTTGTGACCTGTTTGGGGGGGTTCCAACGAACCTTTTACAGGGGTCACCCGATTCATAACAGTAGCAAAATTATAAAGTAGTAACGAAAATAATTTTGTGGTTGGGGGTCACCACAACATGAGGAACTGTAGTAAAGGGTCACGGCATTAGGAAGGTTGAGAACCACTGTACTAGTGGGTTTTCTACTTCACTGGCAGCATCTTCTTTATCATCTCTCCACACAACTGTTTACCAAGAAGGTGCAAATATGGAAGCCAAGAGGCACTATAGCTTTCCACCAAAAAGAAACCAGTTGTTTCCAGAAAGTGATTTAGTAATATCTGTGTAGGTCAATATAATCCAGAGAAACATGAACTCAATAATCAATTTGACAATAGTGCTCTAGACGTTTCATGACTTACTCATTTTTGTGTAGAACATCCCTAAAAACAGCCATTTCTATCTTTATTTCTATTTTCCTAACACAGCCCCAAACATCCATGATTCACAATCTGTACTACTGCAGCTGGCAGGGGGGTTGATGATGTTCACTGGAAAGGGACGGTGAGAATCAACAGTGAGGACCAAACCCCAGCCTGCTCTCTTCTACGGGGCCTGCTGGCAATTCCAGAAGGGACAACCTGTCCTCCAAATGCAAAACCAAACAATGATAAGAAGAGGGAGGAGCAGACAGGAGAGGGAGAGGAGAGGCGAGAGTACTCTAGTAATTAACACAACAGGCAACAGACCTTCTTTAAAAAAATCAATCACTGTCATTACTATCATCAAGCACATTTCACTTTTATCTTTTGTTCTCTAGTTTTCTTTTTCAAATATTATCTACTCAATTCAAAAACAGACTAAAGTAACACAATTATCTCAGATGATCCATGAATTCATCCGGATAATGACTGTGTCACTTAAGGTTCTTTAGCCACTGAGGTGTTGATAATGGGTTGGGGCCAACGTAATTTATGGCAAATTTCTACGGTTTACTGTATCTCGATGTAACAGATATTTTGCTCTTTTCATGGAATTACTTTTCAGTTCACCAAGGTTCAAGTCTCTCACATGATCTGTAACCTTCAAATATTTTTCTTCTTTAAATTGATGGAGCGGGGGAGAGGGGAGGCGCGGCGTCAGCTGGTGGCTCATGGGATGAACAAGGGAAAAGTTAACTTTCATATTCTGAAAATTCAGTGGTTATCCTATTACTTTCCACTAGGGACAGGGGTGAAGTTAATGAAAACAAAACAAAAATAACCTAAGCCTAAAATTACAACATATACAAAAATTAATTTGCAAAATGAAGGAGGAAACTGGGGGTGGGGTAGGGATGGGAGCAAAGGTAGCGGCACCAACCAAAGTCAAAAAGCCCAAGTTGGAACAAGAACGTGTCACTTTGGTTCCAAAAGTCAAGTCTCAAGAGGAAACAGGCAGAAAGGAAGACAAAATTTAAAGGACAAATACTCAATGGGATTCTTTTTTTTTTTTTGATTCAATGATTTAGTTATAAATATAGATTATTAGTCTTCTCTCTATACATGTAACAAAAGCCAAACAACTCACTACCATGAAATTTCTGAAACGGATTCTTTCACATTTGTTAAAAAAGGTAAAAATCACATACTTTCCCCCCTTCTTTCAGTTCAAGTTCTGAACTGAAATAGTACATGTAACAATAATGGGTCCTAGCATCTACATGAAGTCAAACCAAATTTAGCCCCTTTATCAAAACATGGAGCTTTGTAACTTCTATCACACTTGCCTTGAATTTAGGCATGAGAAAAACTCCTCAACGCAACTCACAAAGAGCAAGCCAAGGGAAAAAAACAAAGTTAGGAAGAAGAGCGAAAGTACGACGGGCAGCTGAAACAAATACTCTGAAAACTCGAATGTGTCATTCAAGTACTGAAAACATCCCAAAGGGACCATGAATGGGATCTGTTACAACAAAGTCAGTAAAATAAAATAAAATGCAAATCTCAAGCATGATAGAAGGCCAGGATGGGCTGTGTGCCAAGAGATATAAGGCAATTGATTCAGTCCACAATTCCTTTTGGACCCAAAGAAGGGGTTCATGTCAATGTCATAATTCTTTCGGTTGTTGTTGCAATTTTCTCTGGGTTGTCTTCAGGGAGTAATTTGCTTTTTCCCTTCCATGTTATGAGACCATTTCTTCCAACCCCCTGAAAAGAGTAGTATTTTTCATATATTAAAAGACTTCTTTTAGAAAATGGAAAAAACGCAAGGCGGTGGCAGTGGTGTTAACGGTTACTCTTCATTGCTTCTTTAGCTGCCATGATCAGTGGCGTCAAGCTAGATAAAGGCTTGGCCAGTTTCAGGAAAGGATGCTGCCGGGGAAAAGAAGAGAAATGTCATCAGTTTAGACATGCACAAGCTTTTCTTTCCATCAAGCCCAAGGACTACGTTATGGATCTTAATCTATTTAATTACTAACACATTTTAATATTTGTATTCAACCAACTGAGCCAACATGTCACTTTGATAGTTGAAAACTAGTCTTTAATATTCACAACATATAGTTAAATGACCCTTGCCAGCATTCTGAGAACTGATAACATGTGAAAATTCATTAGTATAGTATTATCAGTATTTTATTTCTAGCAGTTGAATTTTAAAGTGCAGCAGCTGCCACAGTGATGGTGATCAATTAACAGTGAAAGACAATTAAACAATTGTAATGGAAACTTTATGTTGACTATTCAAAAAGCATAGTTTTCAAATTTACCTGTAACAATTCTTTGGCTGAACCCCTTTTCTCCACATCCATTTCCAAACATCGGTTTAAGAAATCCCGAAATATTGGGGAAAGTTTCTCTGGATTCTGAAGTTCTGGGGTTCCATTAGTTGCTATCAGGTATAAGGCCTAAAAGTAGAGCATCTTTTGTCATTATTAAGGTAGAGTACATTACGTTTACTTCTTCAAATACAATTACTATAAATACCACTGAGTTTTTCAGCACATTTTAAATGTAGTTTTTGTGGTAAAACTAGGTGTCTCGGTTGATATTTGGGTCACCTTATACTCGAGTATATATGGTACTGAAGTATTAAAGTGAGGCCTATTATTGTCTATACCATTTACATATGTTATTATTCGTGTTATGATTATATGTTATATTTGCTGAAGGCTTTCCACACCCCCTTTCCCCAAACAGAAATAGCTTTCTTTATGTTGTGGAGAGATAAATGTAATACATAATGATTAAAAAGCAAAATAAAATTATAATACATAAAAGGTATAAAAATGACCTCAACTCTACCATCAACATACATGCGGTAAATGCCTTCCCAAACATATTTCAAAACAATGAGATTTTCTGAAACTCTTTAAAACAAAAACAATTGTTATATCATGATCTCAAGATACTACTAATGTACTACATTTACATAATTAATAGGTGAACTGAATTAAAGAACACATTGATGTTTCATAATTCCATCAAAATGTCACTGTATTCTTTATGTACTCCTTTAAATTCCTAGAGGTAGAATTATTATTTAATATGAACTATTTTTTAGAATATTTTTTATCCCATCTCCTAGTTTCCTCTATTATTAACATCTTGTGCAGTGTGGTTCTTCTGTTACAACTGATGAACCAATATCAACAAAAGCCCACATGGTCAACATTAAGGTTCACTTTTGGTGTTACATAAAGCAATGGGTTTTGACATGCATTTATCCATCATTATGGTATCATACATAATAGTTTCTTTTTTATTTATTCATTTATTCATTCTTTTTTTTTTTTTTCTTCATACATAATAGTTTCAATGCCATAAAAATGCCTTGTATTCTACCTACTCATTCTTCCCTGGCTTTACACCCTAGCAGTCACTGCTTAGTTTACTTTCTCTACAGTTTTTGCCTTCTCCAGAATGTCATATAGGCAAAAACATACAGTAGGTACTTTTCAACCAGGCTTCTTTCACTAAGCAGTATGCATTTAGGATGCATTCACGCCTCAGCATGGTCATTTATAAGAACCCTGGTAGAACTGAACTGCTAACCTCACTGTTGGTTGCTCAAAGCCACCAGCAGCTCCGAGGGAGAGTGACAAGCCTTTCTGCTCCCATAAAGATTTAGTTTGGGCAACCCCATATAAACTCGCTAGGAGTTGCAACTGAGTTGATAACATTGTGATGGGATGACTACTCCATTATGTGGATAACCATTTTATCTACTTTCCTATTGAAGGACATCTTGGGTGCTTCCATCTTTGACAATTATGAATGAAGTTGCGATAATCATTCATTTGCAGGTTTTGTGTGGACGTTTTTAGTTCAGTTGGGCAACTATCTAGAAGCACGATTGCTGTGTTGTATAGTAAGATTATGCCCACCATTACTTTTGTAAGACACTGCCAAAGAAAGTGGATGTACTGTACCATTCTGCATTTCCACCCGCAATGAATGAGAATTCTGGTTACTCGCTATCCTTGTAAACATTTAGTACTGCCCGTTTTCTTGGAGTTGACCCACTATATTAGGTGTGTAGTGTTATCTCATTGTGGCTTTACCCTACAGTTCCCTAACAACATGATATTGAGTATCTTTTCACACATATACTTGCTTATTTGATGAAATGTCTGTTCAGATCTTTTGTCAACTTTTAAATCGGACTGTTAATGAACTGATGAATATTAAAAGCTCATGATATATTTTAGAAAAAGTCCTCCATCAGATTTATTTTATCTATAATCTCTCCCAGTCTGAGGCTTGTTTTCCTTCTCTTAGTACCTTCTGTAAAGCAACTTAAATTTTAATAATGTCCAGCTTGGGAATTTATTTTCTTTCTTCCATGGATATGCTTTCATTACTGCTATCTAAAAACGTATTGCCAAACCCTAAGTCACCAAGATTTTCCCCTGAATTATTTTCTAAGGCTTCTTTCTGCCTGGATTGCTGTGAAAAGAGGGAGTGGGGGAGGGGGGAGGATACCCAAGTGATATGCAAAGCATTAAAGTATGAGTGTGGCCATTTCCAAATGGCCCAAATTCTCATTACATATTACCTCCAAACTTTTCATTTAATTTCTTTTTTGTTTGTTTTGTTTTTAAATCAGGAGACTGAAGTCAGGGCAGCTATGTGGTAGCCTGTTATCACAATGAGATACTGTGAAGTCAGATTAAAACTAGTCATCGATAGTCATTGATCTTCATCCAGTTCCTTTTTTTTTAAACTGTGAAAAGTTGTCATGTAAATCACATAAGTCATGGCATTTCGCCCCTATTTACTTGGATAATTCTATCTAAAGACAATACCATTGCCATACCTACAAAACCAACCCATTGTTGAGTCAACTCTGTTGCACAGTGACTTCAAACGACAAGTAGGACTGCCTGTGGCAGTTACATAATCTCCTGTCAACTTCGAAGGGGTGGTGCCTAGTCAGTCAATCAGGTCATAGCCAATGAAGCCTCTGTGTGGGCATGACTTTATCCTGAGGATTTAGGGAACTCCTGTCTTCCTCCCTGGAGGCAGGACACATAACTCTCTGCTTCATCTTCCTGCTCACAAACCACATGGAGCTATGCTGATTGCAGCCAGGGCCCTGGAGTTGGAGAAGCCACACTGTGGAGAACCCATGCCAGCACTGAGATGCTTCCCCTGCCACCGGATCTACCAGACTTTCCCATTGGCCTGTGATCTTCCTGCATTTGACGTTATTGCATGACTGCGTAAATCTGAAGAAATTTATAGACTGGTATCAGAAATATGGACTAATATCAGACTTATGGACTTGGACTTGATCTACACTGGGCTCAGCTGTTTTCTTTCTTTCTTTTTATTCTTAATACACAATTGCTCTTTTATAGAAAGCTTTTTCTAATACACGAGTGCCTCAGGATTTGTTTTCCTAGTCAACCCAGACCAACACACTGACCCACAGGTTGCCAAGGCTATAAATGTTTAAGAAGCAAGATTAACATACTACACCTTTCTCCTGTGGAATGACTGGTAGTTCAATCCACCAAGCTTTTTGTTAGCAGTCGAGTGCCTTGACCACTCCTGACCAAAACATCATGGATAGAATCCACCAGCTCCTCCGCAGGAGAAAGAAATGGCAGTCTGTTCTCCTAAGCAATGCCAGGGCTTTACTACCTACTGAAAATTACTCATTCTTTTTTTTGGGAATATACACTGCTTTATAAAAAACCATTCAAAAGTGATCTTGTTCATTTGATAGTTCCCACCCCCAACAGAAAAATAAGTGTATTTTTTAAAAAGGTGGGTGGTTTGGAGAGGAAGGATAGATGGGAGTACTGCTGAAGATAAAAGCTTCAGGGGCACAGCAGAGGCCTAGAACACTGGGGGGTCAGGGACTGGGGGGGAAGAGAGGACTCATTCTTTGCTAATATTCTCTCACAGCCTGTCCATATTAATATGGGTATCAAAAATTGTACCTAAAAGTTTTTTTCAGTGTTATGTTCAAACCCAATTACAGACCTGCATTTGATTGCTTTGCCTTTTAAAATCTAGATGGTTTCCTTCTATCTTTTCCTTTCGTAAAATTGACTTGAAGTGAGCCATTTCCTAAAGACTGCTCCCTTTTGGATTTTTCTCATTGTATTATCTTGTTCCTTTGTTTCTTAAAAAGTAAAAACTGGTTTTGAAGGCTTAATTAGGTCCAAATCAAACACTGTAGCAAGAATTAATAGATGATTCTACTTCATACTGCTTCATTAGGAGACAGATGGTATCGATTATTCTAATTTTAGGGATTCTAAAACTATGATAAAGTTTTGTTTTTTTTAATTTTTTAAAATCATTTTATTAGGGGCTCATACAACTCTTTCACAATCCATACATACATCAATTGTGTAAAGCACATTTGTACATTCATTGCCCTCATCATTCTCAAAACATTTCCTCTCCACTTAAGCCCCCGGCATTAGGTCCTCATTTTTCCCCTCCCTCCCCGCTCCCCTGATAAAGTTCTTTATTTGCCCTTGAAGCACCAAGTTAATCTGAATGGGGGAAGATGTGTATGATACTATGAAACCTTACAAATAAAAGTTCCCTCAACTTTTAACAATTTTAGAACCACTGCTGATCCTTACCTATATCAATTAATGGTTACATAATGATAATCTTCTAATTCTGTTATTCTTTCTACACTATCAGCTGACATTGTTCTATAAATAAGAATTCTCACTCATTTAGTGGGGCTTTTGGTTATCTTGAAGTGCAGTTCCTACTAGAAAAGTATGATAAATCATATTTTTATCCTTTTAATCACCAATTTTCAGGGCAAGGTCTTGGTAGAATAAACCCACTGCCATAAATCAAATGGATCCCAATGCATAGTGCCGTAAAATAATTTAATTCCATCTTAAGAAACCATCTTCAAGATAATAAATAATTTCAAATAAAAAAACCTAAGACTCAGCTTCTACACTCCCATTAAAAGGAACTCAAAGGGCACCTTCTAAAAGCCCCTTCAATTTCCAACTTTCTTTCTACTTTGGGACCAAATCTTATTATATATTAAACTTAATCTGTGTTAATAATTGTAAGCCTAGAACTCACAGTCAATCCCCCAGCTTATGAATCCAATATGGCTCGGCATAGTCCATTTCATGATATTTTTTCACGTATATTTCACCAAATTCTTGAAGCATTTATACTTTGCTCTGGAATTCAGGCAGTCATCAGCAAAATCCTTAAATAACAAGGAGCCTCAAAAAGATGTGGAAAATTTGAATGAAAAGATCATGGTATTTTCCCACAAACTTTTTGGAGCCCCTTTAAGCTTAATCTCTTCTCAAACATTGCCCTTCTGCACATCCCCTCATCCTCTTCCTTTTTTTAATCCTTTCCCACAAGGATCCATCCACAGTGCTGTTTTCTCCACACCACTGGGCCTGGAGAGGAAGTGCCTTTTTGGCCCCTGTTTGAGATCTTTATGCCCCTTCTCCTCTAGAACTCTTCAGACTTTGAAACGCCTATCTTTCTTTGTTTCTAACATCCACCCACAGTGATAACCAACTGTTATCATCTTTAATATCACTCCTGTCACAATCTGTAATGTTAATAGTTTCACGACCTTCTCCTTTCAGATGTTCTTGCCCACTAGCTCACTTCAGGCTACCTACACATGGCCATTCCCTGCAATTTATCAATACTTACTCTGTCAATCTCCACCTCCTCCTCTGTTTTCCACCAATGCCAGCAATTCTTGACTCTACCCCACTGCTAGAGTTGATTCGGACTCTCTCCAAATCCCATGGAGCTTCCCAACATTTCCAATTCCTTTCATGTAATCACTACCTTGGTATTCGGATCTGATTTCTTAAATATTTTGAATTTTTTCCCGTAAGTCTATAGTCGTATACAAGGTGCTCTGGTAGCTGCTAATTGAAAGGTGTGGGGTTCAAATCCACCAGTCACTCCTCAGGAGAAAGATGAGGATATCTGCTCCCCTCAATTTTTAGCCTCAGAAACCTGAAAGCGCAGTTTTACTCTGTCCTTTAGGGTCTCTAGGAATTGCAATCGAATCAATGGCAGTGGGTGGTAGTTATATATTTTTAAGCTTTCTCTTGATTTGGTGGTGGTGGGGGGCACTAAGTTTATTTAGAGACAATCCACAAACCAAAAATCACCTTTTAAAAGCGTACAATTTCGTATTTTTTTTAGGATAGTCACAAGGTTGGGCAACCATGATCAATGTTAAAGTCTAGACTATTTCATCCTTACAAAATTAAAGCCATGCCTGCTAGTAGTTACTCCACAATGACCTTGTGTACCAGATTGACTTTCTGTCTCTACAGACTTGCCTTTTATATAAATGACTGTGTCTGGCTGCTGTCACTAATATTTTTAAGGTTCATCCACATTACAGCCTGTATCACTACTTCAATCCTTTTTGTGGATGACAATTCATTGTATGGGTATAACATATATTTTGTTCATCCATTCCTGCTAATGGATATTTGGGTTGTTTCAGTTTATTGAATATTATGAGTAATGCTGCTAAGATTGAGATTTTGTGCAGAAATAGGTTTTCAATTCTCTCAGGTAGATATACACTCAACACTGGAACTACTGGGTACTGTACTGGACAAATCTGTTCTTTAAAGTGTCAAAAAGTAAAGATGTCACCTTGGGGACTATGGAATAAAGGCTCTACCTAAAGCCACGCTATTTTCAATCACCTCATATGCATGCAGTGACTAAGGTAGACTAAAAAAAGAATTGATGACATTTGATTATGGTGCTGATGAATAATACAGACTAGACCACGAGCTGCAAGAAGTAGTACGGGGGTATGCTCCTTAGAAGCAATGCCGGTGAGACGTGATCTCACATTAGACATGCTATCAGGAGGCGCTAGTTCCTAGAGAAGGATATCATGCTTGGTAGAGACAGCAAAAAAGCTACATTCTCAATGAGATGACTGACACAGTGGCTGCAGCAACAATGGACTCAAAGTGTTGTGAGAAAGACACAGAACCGGGCAGCGGTTCACTCTAATGTACACAGGGTCTTTGTGAGGTGGAAGAGACTCAGGGACATCTAGCAACCACAAGATAACTCGAAGTTTGATTTTTTTGAGGAGCTGTCAAATTGTTTTCCAAAAACATCTGCAATATTTAAATTCTCACCGGCAATGAATGCCCCAAGTTCTTATTGTCTGTATTTTAGACTGTAACAATTCTAGTAGGTATATCTTATTGTGGATTTGTTTTTACCAAATATAGTTTAAAAGAAGGAGAAAAAAACACTTCCAAACTCTGCAGTTAAGCTGCTGGGATATTTCCTTTGTAAAAGTACAGTGACCTCCTGAGCATCTCGGGATTCTCACTCTTCTGTTTAAACACCAGCTTTAACATCACATAATTTACCTCTTCTCTGTACCGTGGGGTACATAAACCAAGACTCAAAGTTGATGACCTAACGTCAGTAAACTGCTACTTACATGTAGCACTAGAAACCAAAAAGCCTACTACTAAAGCTCCAAAGCCTTAACTTGACACATTTAACTCTGTAACTGGAAACAAATGATTTTTAAATAATTTTAGCAGTGACAGCTTAGATGAGCTTTATCAACTTTGTATCTTATATCCTTGGCGAGTGACTGGCACAAGCAGGTTCTTAATACGCATTTTAGCCTTAAGGCAGGCTGGTGTTGAATCAGTCTTACCCGCAAGGGATTTTCATTGAGGTATGGAGGCTCTCCTTCGACCATCTCTATAGCCATAATACCCAGAGACCAAATGTCCACTTTGGGGCCGTAAGCTTTCCGTGTAACCACCTCTGGTGCCATCCAGTAAGGCGTTCCAACCATGGTACTTCGCTTGCTTTGCTCAGGGGTGATCTGAGCACAAAACCCAAAGTCGGCTATAAAACAAAAGAAATTGTCTAGAATTAATGGTTCCTATGGATCCCCTTATCAAGACTTCACGTTAAATCACAGAAAACTGTGTCCTATAAAATGTGTGCCTCCTTGATTGTACTATGTTCTCATGGGTTTAGCACTTAAGTAAAGATGTGACTCGTCAGTTATACAATGATGCAATCATCCTCAGGTTATGATCTGATGTGAAGATTGATACCAAGACAAGGAGATCTCTAAGGGATCCTGGCCAACAGATGATGAGAGGAGATAAAGACCTTGCCCTATAGACAGGATAAAGCTCTCCCCTAGAGCTGGCATCTGAATTTGGTCTTTTAGCTAAAGTAGGAGAGAATACATTTCTATTTAGCCATCCAATTGTGGTAGTGCTGTTATGGCAGCATTAGATTATCTAAGTCATCTTTTGCACTAAACAATGTCTTGAGTTTTAATTTGTAGAAACCTCAGGTGTTCTTGAATCTCCAGAGTGCAGGATTAAACCTGAAAGAGGGTATAGCCAGCAATGTGTGGCAACAGTGCAGACTTTTTTTCATGAACTGTATCATGCCTAAGCCAGAAGATTACTGAGAAAATGATTTACTTATATGAGATCTTTTCCCTTGTCATTTCTGCAGTCAGAGTCACACAGCCCTCAACTGACTAGGTCAGGGTCTACAAACTCCAAAGAATGCTAAACAGCATGATGAAATGTCTAGTCTAACAGGTAGGAGAGACAAATCCAAATTTATGTCTGAAAAATAGCATCATCATTGAGATAATCCCAGGCACTATTCCTCAGAGCCTTACATTTTTAATCCTCAGAAGAATTCTCAGGGACAATTTTACAAAGGAGAAAATAGGCGCAAAGGATTAATTTGCCCCAAAGTTGCTCAGCAAGTAGTGGCAGTTCTAGTAAAAGTCCAGCCATCTGGCTGAAGAGTGCATGTTCCTTACTACTACATTGCTTCCAACGCCATATATTAAAGCATACAAATATACATAGCACAATTGTTTTATTAAATCAAGACAGGAAATTTTAGCACAAACATTTACTTATATGTGTTATATATATGTGTGTTCAATATGTTACTCACTAAGTTTCACTGATCCTTCCATCCCCAAAAGGACATTGTCACTTTTGATGTCTCTATGGATCACCTGGTTAGCATGTAAAAACTCCAGTGCCTGTAAACACTGAACAGAGGAAAGACACCTGTCAATGAACAGCCGCTGGAAAATCTAAGGGAGGTTCATGTTCGGTATAGGCCACAGAACTCCAACACCTGTATTTATTAAAAGCAAACAAACAATGCCCTCTCATTTGTAAAGTTAAGAATATAAGATGCTTTAATTAATTCTCTCTTCCCTGCCCAGAGATACTATTAAATACTGTAGGCGTTGCAATGAAAGCACAAGAGTGTCAAAGTGAATTAAGAGGAGAGGGGCATGACGGCATTTTGCAGCTTACTGTTGTAGAAAAAGCTGACTTAAGTCATACTGTAAATGTTGTTTTCCAAAATTCAACTCTTATAAAACCTATGTAAATAGTACATTATAAGAAGTATAAATTCAGAGTAGACTATGACCAGTCATAGCTCTGCTACTGATCAATTAAAACCCTTAAGAATATCAATCTTCAATGTCTCGTTTATAAAATGGATGGGGCCACATAACTTTTAGACTCAGCATTTTGTAAATGTATACAGGCTCTTTAGAAATATTTTCAACAGTGAGGATAAATTTGTGATGATTCTCATTTGAATCAGAGATTAAGAAGTCTAATCAATATAAGCTACTGGGAAGTGTGTTAAGATTCTGGGTGGTCTGCACATTCAGTCTGTTCATCAATGTGATCAAAGACCCTTTATGCAGTTGACATCAGTGACCTGAAAATTACTTTCTTCTTATGTCACATTTCAGAAAGCACTGAGTCAAGGAGTGAAGAGAAACTTCTCACTCCTCAAACACAACAACTAATGGAATTGTCTAAACTGTGCTTGCCCCAGTGGTTTTAAACAGCAACTGCATATGTAAATAATAAACTTGGAAAAAGCAAGCTGTACTTTATTTCTTACTCTTATCAGAGTAGAATAAGTAGTCTGTCCATCATTTATGAGAAATAAAACTCTCATTTAAGGACAAAAACAGATAAACATTGTATTACCACACTATATATTCCAGATGTTAAGTAGATTTTTGAAAAGGATCAATCTCTAGAGAAATACTTTAACTTATAAATAGAAAACATTTTATAATAAATTTTCTATTTTGGCTTTTGAATAAAAATCCAAGTTAATAGCAATTAGAAAAATTCCTAAATCACAATTAATAATGATACCATTATTAAATAATTTAAAAACAAAGAATAGACAAAAGGTTATGCCCCAGCTCTTAAGTAATCACTGCTCATTAAAATATATTCATAACTATTAATTAACAGTTCTTATTTCCTTCTCTCTTGAAAGGCACAATTAAAAATTGTCAAAAGATATTTTTATAAACATCTTAATAAAACCGAAAGAAAAACAAAAGAAACCAAAACTCCTCATATTATATATGCTATTCTTACAAGAAGTTTTATAATTCATTGCTGAATGCTAAATCATCCAACATCCAATACAATCTTACACAATTTCTATTATCAGATAATGATTCACTTCCTGATAATAGAATAATTATCAATAAAAAGAAAAGCATTAACAAGTTTGACATGTAGAAAAAGATAGTTTTTGACGTAGAGCAAACTGGTGGAATTCTATTGGTATAAATATTTATGTAAGTCATTCATTAATTCACCTAAAGAAACAGTTGGATTTTTCACATTCAGTGAGGTCAACAGCATCAGAAACTGACTTATTGAAAGGGATGGTGAATCTGCCTCCTGCTTTATATGAGAGTTTTGGTTTCCAGTAGTTAAGAATGGTGTGTTTCTAAAAGCAACCTATTTTACTCTTAAAGTGTCCTAGTGTGGATAAAAATTATTATGTGGACAGTTTTTCACAGGTCCTCACTTTGTTCTAAACTTACCATACACATCAAGGGCACTCAGATGCCTACCTTGCAGAGAATGTATACAGAGGAAGTAACTTGAACGATAAAAAATTACCTGTGCAGGAAAACTCTTTTTTGTATCTCTTGCTAACCCACATCACCACAGCTCATCAGGAATGGAGTACACCCACCTCTCTGCACACAGCAGCAATCTGTGCTTCATCCATGCAGGTCTCTGTTACAACATCAGTCAGTGACCCGCCAGCCAGGTACTCCATTACCACAAACAATTCATCTCCCACTAGGTAACTAAAGTAGAACACATAAAGTATATTCACAAAATTTTACTACTTCTAAACACAGGGCACTCTGTTACAGAACGTCACTGCCAGCTTTAAATTCTGCTATCTTCAGTAAGCCAAACCAAACCACACCTCTGGGCATGGAGTCTATTCACAGTGACCTTATATTGGGTTTCGGAGAATGTTAAATCTTTACAGAAAATAACCTCATTTTTCTTCCATAGAGTGGCTGATAGGTTTGAAGTTCAATGTGTACAGCACAGCACCACTAAGGTTTCTGATCTTTAGTATGAACCACCTATCATAACCCTTAAGGACAGAATAGAACTGCCTCTGTGGGTTTCCATAACTTGTTCAATCTTTATGAGATCAATCAGCTTCACAGAATGACTAGAACCTTAGCAGCACAATGGCATACCATTATACCACCAGAGCTCCTCATTCAAATGTTAGGGATCTTATTAAGAAAACTGAGGCTTGAGAGCCAAGATGGAAATGGGAAAGCTATCCCCATTCCTATCCCTGGGTTCCGTGTGTCATGAGCTTTGGGGAGGAAGCGGGTACCGAATGCAATTAATGGCACATAATCACACACACCTCTCCAGAGGGAAAAACAACAGAAACCAGAGGGGAAGTGAGACAGCGATCAGTGTGAGATATGGAAGCAATAATAATCTATAATCTATTAAAGAGCCATTGGGGGCGGGGGAAGGAGCTGATACCAAGGGCTCAAGTAGAAAAAATGTTTTGAGAATGATGATGGCAACAAATGTACAAATGTGCTTGACACAATGGATGTGTATATGGATTGTGCTAAGAGTTGTATGAGCCCCCAATAAAATGATTGGAAAAAAAAGTTGTATGATCCCCCAATAAAATGATCTTAAAAAAAAAAGGGAAAGCTGTGATTAAAATGGGTAACAGCAAATAAGAAGTAGTGTATCCATTAAGATTATCCTGAATAATTTAAAATTATGCCTATAATTTCTATTGGAGTGTTTACATATAGGTTGTTTTAATTAAATCAAGCCTACAGCAGTTTTAGTGCTATTTTATACAGAGATCAAGGCATGGAAAAGTAAAGTAACTCATCCAAGGTCACGGAGCAAGTATATGACAGAACCAGAATTTGAAGCCAAGTATGAATGATTCTAAGGCCTATGATTTATTTTAACCATCAATCTACAAGGGCTTAAAATCTATTTTATATAGCATGAAAAGGTAAATTTTAGTTTAAATCTTCAAGTACTTGCAAAATGTTTATTGAGATGACTCCCATAACTAGAGTAGTCTTAAATGGTATTATTTATATTCCCATTCTAACCACACTTAAATACGCAAATAAGAAAATAATCTCCTGCCCCAATATAATCATTACTGTAATTAATTCAGTACCCATATTTTACTCACTCATAAAGGAAGTTCTTAAAGATCAGTAAGTAACAGACAACAGAGTTATAATAATTTCATATTCTGCTTTTTGGTCTATTATTTAATGTCAATTCCTAAGTTAAACAAGTTTTAATATACGTATACTCTGCTCATTAAGGAGATCATTTGAAATTTAAAAAAAAGACCTAAAAGTTTGAAAGACATGTGGCAGTCACCTTTCTCAAATGAAACCTGTGTCAGTCAACAGTTCCATGATGGTTCTGCTTTTGGTCAATTGCAACACATACAAGTGCCATCAGCAATAACCAGTGTTTATTTTTCTTCTGTCATCTACCAAATGATGTCCAGGGAGAAAAAGGACCTGCCAAATCCTAATATGCTGTTGGATCTCTCCTTTCTCCTTCAAGCATACTTCTCTGCACTGATACCTTTGTCCGAGTTGCTTAAGTTACTAAACCCCCTAAGCCAAGAAGCTTAACACTTGTATTCTTATATTTTTGAATTATTCATAAGTACCTGTCTAAGAAGTTAACTATGTTGGGATTCTTCAATTCTTTCATTACCAGAATTTCATTAATGATCAATTCCTTCTTGGGTTGTTTCTGTAAATTTATCTGTTTAATAGCAACCTATAATGGGAAAAGAATTTTAAAATCTCAAAACATAATGTTTTCCAGTTCTTTAAGAAAATTTACTATACCAATCAGTCCATAATTCATTTACTGTATATTTATTATACAATGAGATCATAATTTACTCATAGGTAGCCCTTTTACTTACACAGTGCCTATGCCCAATACTTTGCAATACATAGAAGAATCTAAATATCTGAAGGTTTCTTTTAAAGTTGATTAACCACTCCAAGGTCAGCCCAGTATTACTCCAAGGCTGGGAAAGGAACTGTTTGCATTTATTTGTAAAACCAAATTAGTAATCACTACTTTGTCCTCTTTAACAAGATAACTTATTTCTAAGTATATACTTAAAAAAAGATTCATATAAATTTTTCTCACCTGTGTCTAGTTTTTCGTATATTAAAAGCTAATGGTTATATTCAGAAATAAGAAAAATAAGGAAAAAAGTCTACCTCCTGTCCCAATGCCACATCTGTAGCTGTGAAAACTGTACCAGAAGCCCTAAGAGGAAAAGTGACACAATCAGATATAAGATTTTCAAATCACTACTGTTCTTCACATCCAGCGTTTACACTTAAAACGAATAATGAAGTAAAGAACAATTAAAACATTAAAAAAGAAGTGTAAGAGGCAATCTTGGTAGCCACACCAGGTTAGAAAACTGTCACAAATTAATTCAGAAGTACTAAATGATATAAAAGAAAAAGATAATACACACCCATGTATTTACCTCCCAGCCTAAGACGTAAAGCATTATAAATATATTTGGAGGCTGGATCCTCTGTATTCTTTCTGATGACATTATCCCCCTTAGCAAAAGTAACCTGTCTTTGGTGTTGCTCCAGCCTATATTTGATGCTCAGCATTTCCACACATTTCTCTACAATTTAATTACTTAGTACACAGGTGCAGATTCCTATACAACATAAGTTTCCATACTTATTAGGCCTATTGCCTCCTTTCCAGGGCAAAAAATAAATCAGCACCTCCTGGCAAAAAACATGCATACTATAGCTCATAACCCAGGATGAAATGAAGGCAACTGCGTCTGCAGCTCCCTAAATTGTTTTAGTGCCCTCGGGAGGTGGTAACACCCATGTTGGGAAATGCTAATAATGCCAGGCATAATTTATTATTATTATTAAAATATCATTTTATTAGGGGCTCTTACAGTTCTTATAACAATCCATATATTAACTGTATCAAGCGTATTTGTACATATCTTACCAGACATAATTTTTAACTTCATATAAAGGATGAAGGAGCTTCAAAAAGTTCATGGAAAAATTCCATTTGCTTTACATTTCATTTTTCCTTGATCTTTTGGAAGGGGTATCTCCCCAAACTGGATTTTTTTTCCTAAAGTTATGTATTTAAAATTGTTTCACCTTCAAAGTACTCTCCATTACACTTAATCCATTTGTCAAATCTGAGGTTCCATTCTTGGAAACATTTTTCAAAAGCTCATCTCTTTGGATGTCTGACAGCACCTCCCTTTTTTCTTTCACCTCTTCTACATTGTCTTTCATGTCCCTCTTCATTTGTGGAACCAAAAAAAAGTCGCAGAGAGCGAGGTCAGGTGAGTCAGGTATGTGGGGCAAGAGAGGCATGCTGTTTTTTGCCCCAAACTGGCTCATTGAAATGGCAGTGTGAGCAGGTGCATTGTCATGGTGAAAAAACCCAGTCCCCAATCTGCCACAAATCAGGCCTCTTTTTGGCACCCTATTTTGCAATCTTTTCAGAACTTCTAAATAGAAAGCTTGATTTAACAGCCTAACCTGGTGGAACAAACTTCAAATGCACTGTCCCCTCACATCAAAAAAACAAGTGAGCATCATCTTGATCTTTGATTTCACAATGAGTTTTTTTGGGGTGAGTGACAATGGTGTCTTCCACTGACTTGATGGTTGTTTGATTGTTGTCATCTTGTCACCAGTAAAAAAAGTCTGGGTCACTGTGGAGCTGTTCTTTCAAAGCACAGGATGTTTTTAGTCAACACTCTTTTTGCTGGTCAGTCAGAACCTGGGGCACAAACTTTGCAGTGACCCTTCTCATTCCCAATTTTTTCATTAAAATTCACTGAACTGAGTTTTAAGATAGTCCAGATAACTTCCCCATCTCTTCAATGGTCCCTCGTTGGTCTTCCCACACATTTTGTTGACAATTTTGTCCATTTGGGAAGCTGACAGACATCCAGAAAGAGGTTTGTCATCAATCAACAATTCACCTTTTTTGAAACTAGAAAACCACTCATACACTTGCGTTTTTCCCATAGCACTGTCATTGGTAAGCTGTGTTCAACATCACAACTGTTTCTGCAGCACCTTTCCGGAGCAGGAAACAAAATTTCACAGCTGCATGCTCTTCTCTTAAAATTGGCCACCACAATAAAACGAAGTTTGAGCAAAAATGTTTTTACAAAAAAAATTAACTGTGACCAGAGAGAACCTTCCCAGGTGATGCCACTGAGTGCACTAACTCAGAGCGAGTTGCTTGATACTTGCCTAGCACGGAAAAAAAAATTTTTTTGGTACCCCCTCATATGTCTTTCTGCAATTGACTTACTTTAATATTGCATTTGCCATAGTCTTTCATAAAAGTAAATGTTATTCTTGCTTATTCATCTTTACCTGCTACACAAATATATCATTTATCAAGTGTAGTTTTAAAAAGACATTCTTAAGGATGTTTTCAAAAAGGGATTATAATCTCTTTCCAAATTCACAGAACTGTTTCCAGAGATTAGTAACGTCAAAAAATTCAGATGATCAATGGATGGATGTATGAATTGTGAAGAGTTGTACGAGCCCCCAATAAAATGACTACATGAGGGATTTGCCTAGAAACAATAGCTTCCCATTTTAGACTGTTTGTTTAATAAAGGAGCCTACGATTTTGTAGCAATAAAAAAATTCAGATGCTCATTTATCCCTGTTACAAACTGAACTATAACTGTATCCCCCTAATTTTGTACCATCTTGCCTAAGCCATAATTCCCAGTATGGTGTGGTGGTCCTCCATTTTGTGACATGCTGTAAACCTATATTTCAACCTCTATATATGTTAACGAGGTAGGATTCCATGTGGAGTGTCATGAGTCACACCCTTGCACTTACATCACACTTTGTATCTTACAAAAGATCAAAGGAGAGAGAAGAGAGCAGAGATGGAGGAACTTGACTACCACCAAGAAAGAGCCATGAGTGGAGTGTGTCCTTTGGACTGGGCCCCTGTGCTGAGAAACTCCTAAACCTAAGGCGAGACACATGGAAATTTTCAAGGGAGCCAGATATTGAGACCTTTCCCTAGAACTAGCACCCTAAATTTGGACTTCTATCTTCCTAAACTATGAGTAAATAAATTTCTTCTTGTTAAAACTATCTACTTTTGGTATTTCTATTATACAAGTATTAGATAAATCAGACAACCCCCAAGTAAGAAAAAAAAGTTGTTTGTGGAGTTTATAAAAACCCAGATTAGACAAAAATCAGATAAAATTACACTATCTTTTCATTGCGTAAAATCCAGCATTTTAAAATCCAAATATATCTTTAAAATATATTTGGCATGGCAATTTTCTATACCAAAGAGGTAACGCTATTTAATAAGAAATAATGATAATAATATAAAATCAAAACTAATAGGTTTTTAAATGGTATCTTGAAATAATTGTATTGTTATTGCATATTTATACACCAAGGGTACTACTCTTGGTATAGTGTTAAGTAGTCAAGGCCAGGAGGCCACAAAGGTAATAATATATAGCATACGAAGGAACTATTATGTATTGTGGTAATATAGTCACAAATACTTACCCTTGTCCAATTTTTTCATATCTTGTATATTTTTTCTTGGGGTCACCTATGCTGACAATAGTTCCTATTTTCAATATTAACAAAAATTGGAAGCTTAGTCAAGCATTTTGAAATTGTAAATTAACTTTCATAGCACTATCTCCTTTAATATGGTCTACTTGTTTTTAAACAGCGATTTTCTAGTATTGTTTCAAAATTAGTGTTTCAAACATTTAACAATTTACTAACAGAAATGATACATATAATATCCATATGAATAACCCCTAAATAGCTTTTCCAATGTCCCATATCTTCACCGTGCTTAGGAAACCACTTATTACAGTCAAGACTACTCTAATACAAGCTAATAAATCTCACAGTCAAGCTAAGTGACAGGTTTTAAAATTAGGGTGCCACATAAAATTACAGCAATCTACTTTCAAGGCTATGGATGTTCAGTGAAAGCCCATAAGTCATCATCAGTAGTATCCTCACTTGGATGAAGGCCCCACTCGACTTCTCCTAGACCACTGTCTAAGAAGCGAATAGCCTTGCCCTCAGATAGAGTGCATTGGAAAGTAGTTTAATGTAGATATACTTAAGTTTAAATTTAGCATCTTATAATTCATTTTCCCTTTTGGTCCATTCTTAAATTTGTTCTAACATACTATTTTATGCTTTTTTTGGATTGACATTTTTCTGTGTTTTGTTGTAGTTGTTGGGGGTTTTTCTTTGTAAGTAAGATTCTTTATATGAAACCCAGGACAGGTAAATCTATGGAAGCTGGATTAATAATTTCTCAGGGTTATAGCAGGGAGTTTAGGGGGAAAAAGGGAGCTTAGAACAATGAGTACAAAAAATGAAGAAAATGTTCTAAAACTGATTGTGGTAATGATTGCACAACTCTTTTTAATATATTTAAGTAATTGAATTGTATGATATATAAATTACATGACAAAAATCCTGTTGAAAAACAAAATGCTATCAAGCACAGTTCCTCCCTAACACAAATGGACTCAACACGAGAGAGATAAATCCCATGGCAACTGGTGTAGTGGAGTACAGAATTCCCGAATAAACATACTAGGCAATCAAGGGCAAATAAAGAAAGAACATGAAAGTTTTAAAAAATGTGTGCTTTTCCTTTACCCTTTTAGGCCAGTGTTTTTTATCTTCAAACTAGAGTTCTAATGGCTTTTTAATCAGATATTACCTCTACCCTCTCTTCCTGGCACCATGTAGATTATTTTTAAAGCTTGATCCAGGACAATGATAGCTATAGATTACAAACCAGAACAGGTTTTATGCCCGCACACATAACTAACTATACAGAAAGGTCTCCATCTTATTATTAGGAACTTCTTGTAGGTTTATTTTGAGAAAGTATCCACTAAACCAAGGCCACCGCTGTTAAGGTGATTCCAACTCATAGCTCCCCTATAAAACAAAACAAAAACTCTCTGCCAATGAGTCTATTCTGAGACTGTACATCTTCAAGGGAGCAAACAGTTTCATCCTTCTCCCAAGTAACCATTGGTGAATTTGATGCACGAACCTTGGGGTTAACAGCCCAATGCCTAACCCAGAGCACCAGCAGGGCTCCTTAGCAGCCCTATCTCTTCTGTAGAGTCCATATTGACTTGCTATGGGTTTCTGACACTGTGACTATTTCTTGGAGTAGAAAGCCCAGTCTTTCTCCCACGGAGGCTGCTGCTGGTTTTGGAATGTGGATCACAGCCCAACATGTAACCACTATACCCCCAGGGTGCCTTAGCAAGCCTATAAGTAAGTATATATACATATATAGTTCTTATAATATTTTCAACTATCAGATTTGGCCCTTAGTGGATACAGTAATGGCCACTAGTCAGCACAGGCTTTCCTTCACCTTGACTACGTACACAAGCACAGATTATCATTTTGCAGTTACTAGATTTCAGTTGAGGCGATTGTTATTTTAAGAAAACAATGTATCATTATTTTAACAACTTACTCTTCATGCATTAAGCCAAAATACAGGGTATGGATTAAAATCCACCTGAGCCAGAGGTTTTAAGAGCTATGAACATTTTAAGAATAAGATAAAATGTAGGCAACATACTTAATTTCTCTGTAATCTCTTCATCTGACATTTTGGTCTTCTTTTTCTGTTTGTCTGAAGACTTGGCACCACTATCCACAGTAGAATCACCAACTGGTGAAGGAATAGGGTCAATTACAGACCGTGTGTAAATCTGGAGGCAGAGAGAGATTGGAGAAAAGTCAATTTCTGATCTGCTTACTGGAATTCTGCTGAGTTCCTTTATTTTTAACCCAAACCAAGTGATCTCTTCCACTGTCCTACAGAAAGAGTATTTTTGGCATATAAAAGATCTGTAACTAGTAAGTATGAAACCCTTTTACTTTTGTGCATCATGCTAACAATGTGGCAAAAAGATGCTTAAGTTTGAAAATTGTTTTTACTACATAAAATTGTTTTTACACAAGTTTATTTCTACTATTTCATTTCAAACAGAGTACAAGCAAGAGAGGCCTCTACAATTAGATCAGGACAGAGCAGAATTCAAAGCCGTCAACCTCACAATTAACTGTGCTCTGAGCTCCTCACATGACACGGCCCGAACCCTGCCCACAGGGGACTAGTCATTGGTGTGGGAGGAAGGGTGGGATTTCAGGAGCTCTTCCCTTCAGTCTCACCAAGGATCATGCCTGTTCAACATCTCCCGCAAGCTATTTAGGCATTTCACCCTCACTGAGATAAATATAAAACGGGGGATGAAATATACAGGAGGGGGCACCTCTCCTCAAATAAAACCAAAACAAACACTGGAATTGCACTGGGTGGTACAGAGTTTTTATGGCCTTTCCCTGCTAGGTGAGCATCAAGCAACTTGCTCCGAGTTAGTGTACCCAGTGGCTTCGCCTGGGAAGGTTCTTTCTGGTCACAGTAAATTTTTTTCATAAAAGCACTTTCACTTGATCCTCGTTTTTTGTGATGGCTGATTTAAGACAACGGTGTGTGGCTGTGTTTCTCATTTTAAAAAAGGTGAAATGTCGATCGATGACAAACCTCCTTCTGGATTTGTCAACTTCTCAAATGGACAGAAAATGTCCACTTGTAGTACATTTGGAGTTCATTCCATCAGGTCTCACTGTTAATCAAGTTTCTATTTAGAGGTTCTGAACAGATTGTGCAGTAACAGGATGTGACACAGAAGGCCTGATTTGTGGCAGATGGGGGACCACGACAATGTACGTGTTCATGCAGCCATCTCAATGGGTCAGTTTTTGGTCAAAAAACAAACAAACAAACAAACAAAAAACCAGCATGCCTTTCATCCAAACATGAGTTTGAAAAATGTTTCCAAGAATGGAATCTCAGATTTGACAAATGTATTAAGTGTAATGGAGAGCACTTTGAAGGTGATAAGGTTGTTTCGTAAAAAAAACTAAAATACATAACGTTGAGAGGGGGAAAAAGAAAATTCTGGGTTTTTTGGGTAGCCCCCTCGTAATTTGATAAGAAATAAGATTAAAGTATTATATATGGTAGTTATTTGCCTGAGATAAACTAAGAAAGCTGGAAAAATTGATCAATTCTCGGGAAGACAAAATAGTAGAAAAAGTTTTAAAAGAAGCCAAACTAATATTTTTGATTAGTGGTCTTAAAGTAAAGTAAAGCTCTCCTACTTAAATTTTTTACATCTGAAAGCTTTTAAAGATCATTAAAAACTACCCAATGATCAATATAACTGCTCTTTTTCAATGACGCATGCACAAACACAGCCATTCAGTGATCAAGTACTCACTGATTTTGTATGGTTTGGTCGTGGGGCAATGGCGGGAGGAGTAGCCTCTTCATCATCAAAGTCTTCTTCTGTTACTGCTGTGGATGTTTCTGAACCTTTTGTATTCAGCTGCATTAATATATGAGCAAAGTAAGGAAGACAAGTCAAATAAAAGTAAAAACAAAAGTTAAAATATGGCTATTTAAGTTTATTGGAGCAAACAGATTTTATAGCTAATTTCAATGTGATAAAGCCTCATTAGTTCTAATCTGGATCATGGTGGTGTAGTGGACTGATCACATGTTAGGTTGCTAAGTGTAAGGTCAGCAGCAGTTCAAACCCACCAAGCACTCTGGAAGGAAAATGAAGCTGTCTGTTCCCATAAATTGGCAACTTCAGAAGCCCACAGACACAGTTCTATTCTGTCCAATAGAGTCTTATGCATTGGAATAGACGAGGTGGTAACAAGTTAGGTTTTGGAGTGTTTATCTAATGGTTTTAAACGTAAAGATAATTCTAGAGTTTAAAATTCTAGAATACAAGAATGTAGTAAGCTTACAAAATCAATACACATAATATAGAACATTCTTAAGAGGATTATTTACACTCTTTTAACAAGCACACAGAAGCCTGGTGTCGTAGTAGTTGTGCGTTGGGCTGCTAATCACAAGATGAACAGTTTGAAACCACCAGCAGCTCAACGGGAGGTAGACAAGGCTTTCTACTCCCATAGAGATGACGTCTCTGAAACCCATAGGGAAAGTACTACGTCCTATGAGTCGAAATCAACTTGACGGCAGTAAACAGAGTAGAAAAAGCACATATATACAATGAAAACCATCAATTTATTTGTTAATAAAAGAAGGAAAACAAAGATCATTGGGCTGTAGAAGTTGGGAGTCCATTTGGGTCATTTGAAAGAGATTCACCAGAAGAGAAGGCGACTAGTGAAGGAAAGGGGAAAGATCTTTCGAAGAGCTCATTGTCTGCCAAGCGATAATGCAGACAGTGCACATGATCTCATTTAGTCCTTAGAAAACCCTAGGAGTGTTTCCTTCTAACTGAAGAACTGAAAATAAAAGGTGACTCTTTCCAGGAGCTAACGGGATAACCTATAAAACTCAAAATTCACTGACACTGAGTTGATTCCAACTCACAGAGACCTTCATAGGGCAGCGTAGAACTAACTGTTCCCGTGAGTGTCCGAGACTGTAACAAACTCATCACAGGCACAGAAAGCTTCCTTTCTCTCCCGTGGAGCAGCTGGTAGTTTCAAACTGCATGCCTTAAGGATCATAGCCCAATGTGTAGCTCCTAGGCCACTAGGGCTCCTTTTAACCTAGAAAAGGTTCCAGGCAAATAAGAAAGCTAACAATTTTCAATTATCCAACAAGTTGCGTTTCTGTCGTCTACATTTAATAGGATGGTACCAGGAAGAGGATAGAAGACCGAACAGAATGCTATCAAGTTCTTTGTATTCATGTCTGTATGTGAAGACATACTCAAAGTAGCCAAATTGCTCTCAAGGTTATGATATAAACTTCAGTGTTTTATCAAAGAAACTCCATTTACTTAGCATGGTTTCTTCAACTAATCAAGTGGCTAGCTAAATACATACAAGGGGGTTTAAAGTGGTTAATGGAAAAATGGAATTAAGAGATAACAAAAGCTTTCCATGAACTTTTTGAAACACTCTCATATGGTAAGTAGTTACTTTAAAAAAAATATTTGAAAGCTATAATTTGTGTGTGAGAGAAATAAAAACTGAGCTTTGTTGGGGGAAACCTAAATGAAAACAAGAGCTACAAGAACACATTCACTTACTGCTGGTGTTCCAGAGGGAAACCCATCTTTCTCTAAAATGAAACAGAAAACAATTATAAGTTAATTTAAGAAATAAAATAACTTCTGTAGAACAAAGGGGGAAAAAACAAAGAAGAGCAAATAAAATGTTCTTAGACAGATTTCATTTTAAGAAGCAAAGTCTTGAGTATTACAGCATCAGTATTCCATCAAGAATAATTTATATAAGACCCAGGCTAGGAGTTTTTAAAAATCCTTGAATCGTATACTTAAATTGGGCGAATCTCATGGCATGCGATGTATACCTCAGCTAAAATTGAAAAGTTAAAATAATTTTTTAAATGTTAAATCTGCATTTATTAAAACAAAACAGAAAGCTTATTCATCATTGTAACTTTCTCCAGAAAATTGCCTACTAAGGAACACAAGATATTTGGAAAATGACAACTGTGCACAATAAAATTCTTCACATAAATTTTCATGAAGAAAAATGGCAAATCTTTGAAGGCAGTTAATGAAACTAAATGCTATTCAATCTAGAATTGAAAAGAACAAGTTTTCTTTTGCTTTAAAATGCCCCAACTTTAATGTATATACAGGATTTTTGAAACACAAAACAACCCACTGCCATTAAGTAGACTCTAATTCTACTTAATCGAGATCCTGTAAGACAGAGTAGAACAGCCCAACAAGGTTTCCAAGACGGAAGTCTTTACGGAAGCTTGCTGCCCCAACTTCTCCCCCAGAGTGGTTGATGGCTCCGGCTAGCAGCCAAGTGCTTATCCAATAGGCCCCCAGGGCTCCTACTGGCTGAGAAGAATCGACTATTTCCTGGATATTTATTTATTTAATTTAAAATTTCCACAGGCTGACTTACTATTTGACACAGAAATTCCAGAGACAAGTTTTGCCTTTTCCTAAGTACATATCAGACTAACTAAAGGATTGGTGGTAAAGGAAGAAAGGCCTGGCAGTCTGCATCCATTAAAATTACTGCTAAGGAAACCTTGAGGAATAGTGCTATAACACGCAGGAACTACAAGTCAAAATCGACTTGACAGCAATGGGTTGGTTTAGTTTGGGTGATATATAGACTTTACTCAGGTACTGGTTAGAGGAAATAAATAGTTTTTAATACTCCAGCTCTAAGGTATAAATTCTTTTAGGTTATAAGGCTTTAGGCTATATGTTTTATGCATTTATATATTTGATGAATTTCAGTTTTTGAATGGACTTATTTTCTATTTCAAAGCCTGTGTGCTTATCTAGTAAAATAACCTTCCTCTTGTCCAATCATATACTTCCAGTACAAATCAGTGTTTTTCCCTTCTATTGCTAGAAGTCATTCAGAAGCAACAAGGAAATCAGAAGGGGTTAAAAAAAAAGAAAGCACCAAAACATCCACAAACTCATTATTTTAAAACATTAGGAGGTTAATGTAATTCCTAGATTCCAAATTTTACCAAAGAGCTGTCTCACAATCATTTTGCAGACATACTAGTGATTTAGAAGCTGCGTGTGTGGTGTCTTACCAGGGGGAGTAAAGCTCAGGTATTTCTGCATCACTGTGTTGGAGTCATAGAACTTGAGGACATCCAGCACAGCCTGCGGGTTCTTCTTCTGCTCTAATTTGGTTATATTGGAGGTCTGCAGTAATCGGGCCCACTGCTCCGGCATGCCCTGAGAAAAAGATACTGAGAAATTAGTTTTTCTTTTCATTGCTATAGCAAAATCTCTTTCTGGGAATAAATGTCAAAATACACAAGAAAAAAAAAAAAATCAATCTATACCATGGTAGGTTTGACTGAATTCTAAAAGGTCTAGTTTTTGAAAGGTCTTTTTTCCCTAAACCTGTTTTGAAAAGTTAAATAGCACAGCTTCCTTAAGAAAGAGATACATCCGATGAAAGTTTCATAAGGAGTAAAAAAAAAAATTAAAAAAAGGAAGAATTCAACTAACTAACGTATGCAGAAAAGAGAAGTTTACACTCGGTACTAATGGAGACAATAAGAACACTGACAGATGAGTCCTAAGTAGAAAAACTTACAGTGAATTCTCCAGTAACAGCATCAAAGCCAACATGGATGGTGTGCTCAAAGTCAGATGGAGGAGAAATTTCTGGCCTTTCCTTTTCTTTCTTCTTACTCCCTATAATTATTTAAAAAAAAAGGTTAAACTAGATGTAAACAGATTCAGAACAAAGTAATTCTAGAAAAGAGTTATCACCTACAAAAACACTGAAAGAAAACTAGCATAGACTATTACAAAGGTCAAGGATTTTTAACCCAACCTGCCAGAGATGAGGGAGGGTGAGGAACCACACAGTATCCTAGATGCACTAGGGTTGATGGGCACCAGCCTTGAACATAAGGGCACAAAGGGCAGGAGAAATTATCTCTCAGAACACAGGTTCTCTTCATAAACAAAGTTGACAATTCAGATACTGAACAACTCAGAAACTAAGTACATCAAACCCATTTCTATATAACTATTCTCAACAAGAGCGTAAAGTCTACATTATTGTTGCTATTAGGTGCTGTCCAGACGAGTCTGACCATAGCCAGTGCGCCTACATACAACAGAATGAAAACACAGCCCCAGCTTGTGCCAAAATTGTTAGCTTGAGCCCACTTTTGGCAATCACTGTCAGTTCATGTAGATGCAAGTCTACCTTTTCACTGACCCTCTACTTGACCAATCATGATATCCTTCTCCAGGGTCAGATCACCTTGATAACAAATCTAAAAGTGGTACAATGGTTAAGTGGTAGCAGTTAACCAGAAGGTCAGCAGTTTAAACTCACCAGCTGCTCTGCTTCGGTAAAGATCATAGCCTTAGAAAATCCACGGCCCCTTTTCTGCCAAAGGCTATTTGGGTATTTATCACATCACTTGTGGGCATAAATGACATTGGTCATTTAATTAACTTACCTCTACATCTTTAATGTGATGGCTCATAGTGGCCCTGTAAGGCAGGACAGAACTAACTGCCTCCATGAGTTTTTGCGAATGTAAGGGAGTAGAAATCCCCACCTTTCCATCTCAAGAGTGGCTGGTGGTTTTGCTGAGTCGGCATTGTTGATGGCAGAGTTGGTGCTTGTTTCTTTGTGGTGTGTGTGTGTGTGTGTGTGTGTTGTCGTCCGTGATGGCTGCACCTGCTTCTCTTTGGTGAGGAACGTGACGTTAGTTGGTATTGATACATGGTCAGATGGCTGGACATTCCCAACCCATCCTGTAGGGTAGGTTCTACTCAGTCCTACAAGGTCACAGTGAGTTGGAATCTACTTGACACAAGGTTACATTGCTATGCTAATGTTAACAGCATACCTTGTAAAGACAAGTAACTTAGAAGGACAATGTTTCCTTTCTAGGGTAATCCTCAACCTATCCTTTCTTTTGGAGAAAACTGTTGCATTACTGCCTCATTATAAAGTTTTTCAGTCTGTGTTCCTGTTGTTAATATTTTTGCAACATTTTTGCCACATGCTTCAAATAATACAGACTGTAAACTAGAAGACATTGCTTCCATGATGGCTCCAAAGCCAAGGCAAACCCTGGCTTTAATGTGCTGAGAGCTTTCATTCCTACCTCTAGCACAGCAGTGAAAATGCCTGGTTAACACCTGGCAGTTGCCTCACAGCTGACCCAGGGTACAATGCAGAACACAACCCAACAACAGTTGGCCCCAACACAGACAAGGGAGCTTGGCTACAGTGCAGGCTGACACACCTAAGCAAGTGTCTGGTAGAATTGACCACTGAAGCCATCTGCTTCTCTAATGTTTTCTTTGAGGAAATGTTTTTAACTAAAACTAAAATTTCCTAAGAGACACTGGGTTCCCTGATTATGTTCTTGCATGAGCTTTGGAGATTTGGGTCTTTCCAGAAAAATTTCAATTTTACCAATACAAATTGATTCGTCATATAACCTAATCTTTTAATATATGTCGGGATCTTTTCCTCAATATCGGTAATCTGGATCTTCTCTAAAGCAGTTTTTACAAATTCACTGAGTTTCCCACTTTGGTTTTTATTATGTCCTTTCTTCTTATTTTGGATTTCATTTACTCTTCCAGTCCATTAAACTGGCTTAGTTTTTGAGAACTTTCTATTTCCCAATATGAATGTTTAATACTATAACTGTTTCTCTATGTACTGCTTTAAAAAAAATTTTTAGCAGCATCCTTCAGGAGCCCTAGTGGTTGCAAGAATGAAACACTGCCTGGTCTTGTGTTGTTGTTTTGAGCCCATGGTTGCAGCCACTGTGTCAATCCATCTCCCTAAGGGTATTTCTCTTTTTTTGCTGGCCATTTTACCAAGCATGATGTCCTCTTGCAGGGATTCATCACTTCTGATTATATGTTCAAAGTATGTGGGATGAAGTCTCACCATCCTCACTTCTAAGGAGCACTCTGGCTGTACTTCTTCCAAGACTGATTTATGTGTTCTTTTGGCAGTACAGGGTACTTTCAATATTCTTCGCCAGCACCATCATTCAAATCCAGCGATTCTTCATTGGTCTTCATAATTCAGTCAACTTTCAAATGCATAGCGGTGACTGAAAAATACCATGGCTTGGGCCTGGCGCACCTTCATCCTCAAAGTGACATCCTTGCTCTTTCACATTTTAAAGAGGTCTTGTGCAGCAGTTTCACCAATACAGTGCTTTGTTTGATTTCTTAACAGCTGCTTCCATGAAACACTGATTGTGGATCTATGCAAGGTGAAATCCTCAACATCAATCTTTTCTCTTTTTATCACAAACCTATTTGTCTAGTTGTAAAGACTTTTGTTCTTCACACTGATTTGTAATTTATATTGAAGGCCACAATTTCCAATTTCACCGGTAAGTGCTTCATGTCCTTCTCACTTTCAGTAGGCAAGGCTGTCATCATGCCACCTTCTCCAAATAGTCCAGCTTTGCAGATTATGTGCTTAGTATGGGGATTCGATAAATATGGTGAAAGGATACAACCCTGATGTCTACCATTCCTGATTTCAAACCATGCAACACTCCCTTGTCCTGAATTAATGACTGCCTCTTGATCCATGTACATTTTGTGGGAACAAAATATTCTGGAGTTCCCATTCTTCTCAACATTATTCATAGTTTGTCACGATCCAGTCAATAAAACACAAGTAAACATCTTTACAGTATTCTTTACTTTGGGCCAAAATTTACCGAATAACCTCATTGATATTCCCCCCGTTCCATGTCCTCTTCTGAATCTGCCTTAACTTCTGGCAGCTCTCTATCCATATATTACTGAAACCACTGTTGAATGGCGTTTGGCGACATTTTACTTGCACATGATACTAATGATATTGCTTAATAGTTTACACATTCTATTTGGTTATCTTTCTTTGGAATGGTTACAAATGTGGATCCCTTCCAGTCAGTTGACCAGGTAGCTGTCTTCCACATTACTTGGCTGAATAGGGAGTGCATCCAGTGCACATCAGCTTATTGAAACATTTCCACTGGTACCCTGTCAATTCCTGAAGCCTTTTTGAGGTTAACGTCTTCAGTGCAGTTTGGACTTCTTCCTTAGTACCGCTGCTTCTTGATCATGTACTACCTCTCAAAATGGTTTAATTCATTTGGGTACATTTTCTTGTGTTTTATTTCCACCATATTCTGCCCACAGAATTTTCCAGTATTGTAACTCGAGGTTTGAAAATTTTTTTTCTTCTATTTCTATCAGGTTAAGATATACTGGCTTCGGGACTGACAGTTCCAGGACATGGGAGAGGGGGAGGTGGGGGGAAAGGAAGTGGTGTTAACAAACCCAGGGACAAGGGAACAAGTGATCCAAATTGGCAGTGAAGAGAGTGTAGGAGGTGTGGTAGGGTGTGATCAAGGGTAATGTAACCAAGAGAAATTACTGAAACCCAAATGAAGGCTGAGCATGATAGTGGGACAAGAGGAAAGTCAA